GAATTTACCAGTTTAGACTAAGCGTGAGGAATAGAGTTGATGTCAATACAAATAAGTGTACATTACAAACAAATATTAAATCTTGCAGAAGACCTGACTCAGAATGCAACAATCAACCCAAACGACACTAAAGTCAAAGATAACAACGAGTCGTCATGTGTTAGTCTACAGAGCATCACATTACAGTGGAGCTTTTCATTTGTTTTGGACTGGATCAGAATTACTACATACAATTATTGTGAGTTAATCACAGCTAAATTTAATAAGCTGTTTTTTTTTACAAAATAAGATAATACTTAACCATAGTTGATGTAATAATTTAAAAGAATATTTTTTTTAAGCGTAACGTTTGTTTGTGTTGATTGTGTTTCAGCTCTGCTTGTTAACGTAAAACCAATAATACAAGTGAAATATAATTCAACAATTACTGACTTGGGATGTAACCAAACATTTGTTATCACCAATAACAACGCAGCTGATTTGTTTTGTAAATCAATAAATACAACTACTAGTTTGACAATCAACTTTGGATTAAACATATCGATCTGTTCAGTTTTTGTTAACGGAGGTAGGTATCAATGTTATTTGTTTCTTTTGTATAGGTAGGCACGTTTAAACTTATCCTCATGACTACTGTATTCATGTGGGAAGGATGGTGTGGCCGAGTAATAGAGCACTCATAAGCTAACAACAAAGTCTCAAATGCGGATGTATGTCGGGACCCTAGTATGCTGTATGTCCATGAGACCACCCAGCTTTGATAGGTGCCTCGCTGCATAATGCTAGCCTTCATGAACCGAGGTCAATAAACACAATAACTCTACTTCATCTACCTTCATCTAAAAATTTGGTCGGAAATTGGAACTTAACTTGTTTTTATTTTTTAAATATTTATGTATAACCAGATGTTTGAACAGTTTTATCTCTAGACGTCAGTTCAATACAATCTAAAACTTATCTCACAAACAACGGAACAGGAAGGTAGGCAGGAGCGCGTATTCCCTCTAAAGATCAGTGTTCAGACTCCTGGGCACATGTAGCTACTTCGCTTGGGAGAGCAACCCATTTTGGAGAAAAACTAAACAAATAAACCGGGAGTGATCTCCCCTAAACTTTCTCGAATATTCTTATATAAAATAACAGGGGATGGGAACTCGGGCTATAGACATGATTTTTAATCCATTTTAAATACTTAAAGTTTTAAAAATAGAATAAAATCTCGTAGACAAATTAATTGCACACCAAGTGAACGCGAAATAAAAAAGCGCATAATAGTGCGCAATATTATTATTACTTTTAAAATTTACATTAGTTTTTTGAGAAATCGGAAGTAGCGTAAAGTACTACTTCCAGTCAACGGAAATGACTCAAAATTTAATAGAAGGTAGAGAATTAGATCTTTTACTTACGTATGAAATTTCATTTATCTATCTGAAATAGTACTCAAGTTATAGGCTTTTGAAAAATTCAAAGTAGAAAAAGTACCACTTCCGGTTATCGGAAATCGCTCAAAAGTTGATACGCATCTACGATTTTAATTAAATACTTATATATGAAATTTCATCAACCTAGCTGTAACGGTACTCAAGTTATCGTGTTTACACACGGACACACACACAGACACACAGACATACGGACAAGATTGCAAAATTATGTTTTTCCGTATCAGTGAGATGCAAAACGTCGAGATTTGCAAAAATCTCGATTTTTTTTTTTGCACGATTACAAGACTTTCTCTATACTTCGTATATACGAGAAAGTAAAAAACGAAAAACTGCTGCCTAGCAAGAAGTTCTTAGGTGGACACATATTATGGATAAAAATTCAGAAAGAAAAGAAGGTTGCAGACTGGGTCGACCAGCCATTTGATGCTTAACATTTTGACACATACGTGTTAATTTGGTTTGGTGATAACTCATTTAATTTTGCGATTAAGAATAAAGAAGGTATTTCACAAAGACACGTGCTAAATATTACCTCGAGCATTGTTACAACATCTATGGGACAAAAACATAATTAATTATGTTAAGCAAACCTCAATCTTGTACATATACATTTTTTTTCATTTCGTGAGATTTTTAATGTAATATATACATTTTAAAATATAATTAGGCAGAAATGTAGCTCTGAATCAAGCAGCTTACCAAACAACAACAAACAGTTCAGGTGTAGCAAAACAAGCTGTAGACGGTATTTTTACAAGCTACTCACAAACAAATGCTACAAGTTCAGTATGGAACGTCAATTTCTCCACTGTATACAATGTCAACAGATACGTTATTATGCGAGGTTAGTAAATATGTATTGATTGCTGGATAGCTCGATGGATGAAAGATTGCAAAAATGAATAGATAGACTAATTGATTTTACAATTGATTTTGTGTCATTGTGTTATACTCTGTTCTCTATGAAAAATTAATGCTATGCTCCATTCCACTCTGATTGACTCCTAACTTGATCCAAAACTAATTCAATTAACATTTACCTTTATGTTTTTTCTCTCCATTCATCAACCTAATTAATATTTTTGTTTTACTCAATGTTTGTAGGTACTGCTAATATAAACGGTTACACGATTGTGTCTCTGGATGCTAGCAATGCGGCCGTGCACAACTACAACGATACTACAACCTCAACTACAAGCGTGTACTCTATTGCGTCTGTTAACAAACAAGTTAAAAGTGTTAAAATATCACGGAACGGCTCGCTAACGCTATACGAAGTGGAGATTTACGGAGGTATATTATATAAAAATGCTGATACATTACACAAATGGCATGTAGTAATTATTAAATTAAGTAAAACACCACTTTAAAACAACATTAAAAAACATCACTGAAAAACACCATTTAAAAACTCCACGTAAAAACACTATTTAAAAACACCACTTAAAAACACCACTTTAAAAAAAACACTTAAAAACACTATTTAAAAACACCATTTAAAAAACACCGCTTCAAAACACCATTTTAAAACACCACTTTAAAACACCACATCAAACCGTGGATATGAACCATTATTATGTGTTTAGATTCAGTCTGCACCAGTACCAGTTTTGGTCTCGAGTGCGACAAGACTTGCCATTGTAACGACACGAGTGAGGCATGTTTTGTGGCCACTGGAGCATGTCGGTCTGGGTGCAGCGCTGGCTTTCAGGGCGCTGGATGTGATACACGTAAATACATCATCAGTTATACACTTAATGGTGTACACATGTAGCTTCATATTATGTTAGGAAATACATTTTAACATTTAGTAATCATATCTAATCTATCATAAAACAAGTATACAATTAATTAATAATAAGCTTTTAAATGCGCTGAAAATAATAAAATAAAATACAATATATTCGATTTTTTCGCTTTGGACGCTCATGAGATTTCTTCTATATTTTAGTGAACAATGTTTTACTTTAAAACAAAAACAAATTAGCTTCTTTTGTGGTTCTTTTTCTTCATTTTGTTTTTCATTTTTTTCCTTCCTATAAGTAGGCCTACACATATATTGAGTTTTAGAAAGTTAAATAAAATAATTTTGTTGTTAAAAATGAATTTTATACTGTTTTTCAAAAAATAAAACGTGTATCACCTACTTCAATTTGCAAATTACATTTATAAATCACTTTTTGGCTCTATCTTCTTACGTAATGCAGCGTGCTCAAAAGGCTTTTGGGGTATAAAATGCAGCAGTAATTGCAGCAAGACTTGCAACAATAGTGAAGAATGTAACCCAGTTAACGGAACGTGTACATACGGATGTGTTAGCGGATACTTTGGAGAGACGTGTAACAAAAGTAAGTGGATATCGTAAAGAAAAGAACACGTCTTTAACTATATATATATATATATATATATATATATATATATATATATATATATATATATATATATACATATATATATATGCATACATAATTTTGTGTGTGGAAAGAGGGGATGTGAAAAGGTAAGCTACACATAAGAGAGAGAGGTAATAAAAGATAGGATTCCACATGACTGTGTGACACACGATTATTACTCAGATTGCACCCAAGGAACATGGGGAATAAACTGCATTTCAAGTTGTAGCAGCAACTGTCTAAACTCTTCCTGTAACCGCTTTAACGGGAACTGTACAAACGGCTGTGTTCCTGGTTACACTGGGCCTACATGTCAAAAAAGTAAGTATCGTGTGTGTACACTTATGGCATCAACCGTATGTGTGTCACGTGATATTTTGGCTACTGGACTTTAACATAAACATATTTTTGAAAGGCATAGTATGTTTTTTGAAAAATAAATGTCATTATCTAACAACTGTTTATAGTCACAAAATAAGATGCATCAAATATCCATCTCAGATCAAATTGGCGCTCTATAAAATTGGCAAATAATACATAGCTAGGTAACAGTTTAGTTTCCTGGTTCGTTTACGTGGTACTTAAAAATACAGATTATTATGTAAATTAGAACATAAGTAAATGAAATAACAATAAACCGTGTCTCCAAGTTTGTTAGTTGTTCTCTATATTATAACATGTACAATATGAATAAACCATTTATATATGTAATTTTTAAAAACACTAAAACAACTCTGCAAAATGTATTTAGCTTGTAGTAAGAGAATGGTAAGACGCTTAGATACTGCTATTTAAAAAAATAGTTTCGATGCAATCTAAAAAGAGCTCAAATTACATGTAACACATACAACAACTAACATTTAACAGCTTGTGCAAATTACACTTGGGGCATGAATTGTACCAAAAACTGCAGCAGATATTGCAACAACACCGAGTGTAGTCCTGAAAATGGAACGTGCATATTTGGCTGTACAAGCGGATATTCGGGACCGACATGTAACAACAGTAAGATAATATGTTATTCTAACAAAGGACAAACATTGTTTTACGATATTTAACTGTACATGTGTATATATAAATAATTAATAAATAAATATATATATATATATATATATATATATATATATATATATATATATATATATATATATATATATATTGAATGTGTTCAGGCTGCAGCCCAGGTACTTGGGGTATAAACTGCAAAGAAAACTGCAGCTCCAACTGCGCCAACACTCAGTGTAACTCCACTGACGGGAGATGTACAAAGGGTTGTGTCAGCGGATTCATTGGACCATACTGTACTACTCGTGAGTTGACAATATAAGTAAACATTTTACACGGGTTTTATACATAGTTATTGGTAAGGAAGCATTTGATTGTTAATTCGCTGTGTAGAACGGGAAATAAGCACAGGTTTTCTTTTAACTCAATGGTGTTGATTATTTTACAACACTACAATAATGCGAATATACATATTCTAAGTCATGCAAAATATGTTTTGTTTGTTGTTGTTCGATTTGAAGTTTTTAAATTAAATGAATGTATCTATTGTTTCTAAAATAATGTGAGTCAGATTTTAACACATGTATTTTCTTCGTATGAAACTAAAACATGAGTAGAAACATAAGTTATATCGGTTCGCCATGATAATTTCAGCTGAGCGAGCTACGCTTAAATTGTGATAAACTTTTATAAGTGTCTAACCAGATTCGGACAGCATCAAAAGACATTATATTTTGTCACAGACAATTTTCTCACAAAATTTATTTCAACAATTAAGTTTCAAATGAGACTTTTAGATGAATTCTGGTTAAACCCACTTATCAGTTGATGTTATTTTGTTGTTTTAAACATAATACTGACTATATTTTTTGTTAATAGCATGTAACGTTAGTACTTGGGGTACTAACTGTAGCAGAACATGTAGCCAAAACTGTAACAGTTCAGTGTGTAATTCATCTAATGGGACCTGTACATATGGATGTGTTAGCGGATACTACGGTTCTCTTTGTAATAATAGTAAGTTTGCAAATATATAAAGGTACAAATAGACCTTCATGCTATTATAATAACATGAACATCAAGATAAGTAATTATGTACATAAAACCAATAACGGTATGTTCATGTATATATGTGTGTATTAAAGTAATGTTGTCATCTAACGAAAACTTACCTAATTATTAAACCCAATATTAAAGCGTGTGGTGAGTCTCGTTATGGACCAAACTGTGAAAGCTTGTGCTCATCAAACTGTAATAAAACACAGTGTAACTCAATCAATGGGATGTGTTTTAGCTGCATTAGTGGCTACACAGGCGACTTCTGCGAACAAAGTAAGTAATCCTTGTTATGCAGATGCTATTTTAGTTTTAACATATTTACTGGGATCTACTTTACGTACATACGTTTTTTTACAATAAGATATTTTAAGCACTTTGTCTTTTTATTTAGAATTTCAATTTTAAATATTTTAAAAGTTTTGCCCATTCGCTTCAGATAATGTGCATACATTATATTGTCGTTGTAATAAGATAACACAAGAATATCATGATCAAATGTGCGTGTACATAACACACGTGCGGTTTCTGAAGTTTGGAAAGAGTTAACTTGTACAGAGTAACGTTATAATATGCTAAGACTGTTTACTGAACAAGTAACAGAAATAGCATATGCAATGTAACATTTGGACTTACTTGCGCTAATGATATATTTCATTATTGTTTATTAAATTACAATGACGCATGCCATATATTATTACTTTTGCCTTAAAACAGTATGCTTAACTGGCACATGGGGAATGAATTGCAGCACCAATTGCAGTGAAAATTGCCTTAACCGAAATTGCAGTGCAACAAATGGAGAGTGTACAGAGGGGTGCATTAGCGGATACCACGGATCGAAATGTGAAAATAGTAAGGTTTTTTTTAAATAATAAAATTGCTTAATAAACCTATGGAATCTATCAAAGCAGCACACATATAAATGTAGGCATCGACATGTAGTAGTAATTTTGTTCCGTTTCATTTCACCATACAAACTCATATAATAGTTTAACACATGTGTTTAAATTATACTCTTCTTCAACCAGATTGTACAACCTCTCGCTACGGACCAAACTGTGAAAACAACTGCTCATCAAATTGCTTTAACACACAGTGTAACTCAGCTACTGGAGTTTGTGACAGTTGCTACAGCGGTTACATTGGTGATTTATGTAATGAAAGTAAGTCGCTTGATGATCTTGTTTGTTTTTAAACCCATCACCAAATGCATTGTTTACACTCATGTCTACTTTTATGCACAGCTTGTACAAAAGGAAATTGGGGCAAGGCTTGTAGCAACAATTGCAGCAAAAATTGCAACAACACAGACTGTGATCCAACTAATGGGACGTGTACATATGGCTGTCTTAGTGGATACTATGAGCCGACTTGTGTCGATAGTAAGCTATGTTCTGTCTCCCTTTACTCATATATATATATATATATATATATATATATATATATATATATATATATATATATATATATATATATATATATATAATATCAGAAATGAGACATATTTGTGTCAAAATATCAAAATTGTAACTTGTTTGCATAAGAATTGGTTTAATGACATACACTTTCTTTATAATTTCTATTAGCACTTTTATATACTACAAAAATCGCAATGCTAATCACTTACAGTAGTTATACCTTGAAAACCAGATTGATCATTGTTATACACACCTTCTTTAGAATGTAACAGCACATTTTACGGACCAAACTGTGTCATGAACTGCTCATCTAACTGCACTGATATGATATGTGATGCAATCAATGGATTCTGTCTGTCTTGTATACCTGGATCACAGGGGAACTTTTGTGAACTTTGTAGGAATAAGTTTTTTCTTTCATTTTAAAAATGATGATATTAGATGATTATTTGTTTCTGGTTAATTTATATGATACGATATTCAATTATTAAAACATTTAAAAATCTGTGTTTAATTAAACACCAATTTTTCGTGTTTTGTTTTATATTTCTCATAAAAAACATGGTTTGAAAAGAAACAAAAACTAAACAAAATTCAATAGTTTTTTCTTATTATTTTAAATAGAAACAGGCCAAAATGAATTGAATGACTATATATTATTTGCCACAAAAATGGTCAATGTTGGTGATGAATATTTTACAGCCTGTAACGAGACGTTCTATGGCCAAGACTGTGGTTTAAAATGCAACTCCACATGCGTCAGTTGTAATAGCGTTAACGGGATATGCACCAAGTGTGTGGTGGGAAAGACTGGTCAATACTGTGGTGAAGGTAATACACGGAACATAGTTAATTAATGGTAGTGATGTTTAATTAATAATTGGATTAATGATATTATATTTGCTAATATTATTTTTTTACTGAGTATTAAGACTGAAATTGTTTCCTAAATAAGTTTGAGTTATGCTGCTGTTTTAGATTACCTAGACAGCTTCTTAGCAGAGTTCTTATATACTAATCCAACATTTTAGACATTACTTTACTTCTTAGCATTTTAAAGTTGAAACCTAACAAGATAGAGAAAGAGAAACGACCGAGAAACGTTATTATGATAATATATATACTGAATTGGTTATAACATATTTTAGCGGTGAGATGAGCTAGTTCTCTATGTATATCTAGACAAGCGTGACGTATGTAAATCAATAATGTGACGTATGTGTATCTAGAGAAGTGTAAACTAATGTTTGGCGACTTAAGTTTGTACAAACTTTTGTGGTTAATTTTAACCTTGCATACTCTCATCATGCTCTTTGGTCGTCTGCTTCCCAAATTACCGCCCTTCATTCAGCTGCTACCTTAATTACCGACATTGTAAAACTTTCAGTTGCTACATTATTTAACGCCCTTGCATAACATTCAGCTGCTACCTTAATTATAGCCCTTACACAGCATTCAGTTGCTACATTAATTAACGCCCTTACACAATCTTAAGCTGCTAAATTGCTTACCGCCCTTACACAACATTCAGCTACTACCTTAATTGTAACCCTTACACAACCTTAAGCTGCTGCCTTTATTATCGCCCTTGCACAACATCCAACTGCTACACTAAAGATTTCAAATATCTCAGATTGCCCTGATGGTACCTATGGACCAAACTGCACCAACAAATGCTCACCAAACTGCTCGAGTTCACAATGTGACCCAGTGACTGGACACTGTACAAGATGTCCTCCTGGATACAAGGGTGAATACTGTGGTGCAAGTACGTTTTGTTTTATTTTCATAAGTCTTTGTCACATAGTTAAGGCTACGATACTCAAACGTTTAATTTTCCTTTCATAAGTCTTTGTCAAATATATTATGTAATGTTTTTTAAACACGGTATTTGAATAGAATCGTAAAACCATATCTACGTATTCGTAATACTTAACTACGTGTTCAAATGTTTTGTTATCGGGATCCGAACTCTGGTTAGCACCTGTACGCTGTACCATTCGATCAGGCCGACCCTTATAGTTGTGGAAAATGTAAACATTTAAATCGGCACTTTAGATTGTTAGAAAATTGGACTATGCGATTTAGCTTTAAGAAATGTTTACTTATCTAATATTAGAGTGTTCTAATGTTATTTATATGGCATCCTCAGAGTGTGAGAGCAATAAATACGGTGCTAACTGCAACAGTACATGTTCCACTAAATGTATGGGCGAATCCTGCAATCACATCAATGGGACGTGTTTATATGGATGTGCTGCTGGGTACCAGGGGAGTTTGTGTGATCAAGGTAGTTGACAATGTTTGTTTGTATCATTATTAACTTAATATATATTTTAACATTAACTTCGGTAATTCATTTATATGCCTATATAGATATATATTTGATCAACGTATTTTTTTTTAAATGTATGTGTGGGGTTTAGAACTTCATTAAACATTTTGATGTTCTTACATTGTTTTAATATGTCTTTGATTGTCATTAATGTTTATTATATGAGTTGGATGTGGTAATACTATGCTATACATCTTATTATGCTTGTTTTATACTTAAGTGGTTTGCAGAATTTATTCAAAACTAGTTATTTTAATTTAAATTATTTATTAGCAACTAATTATTGAATTAATTATATTCTTAAAACTAGAATGTGATAATGAAACCTACGGTGTGAGTTGTCTCAACAACTGCAGTTCTTTGTGTCTTCAAAACGGCACGCAACCATGGTGTGATTTCCGCAATGGAGAATGTCTGTTTGGTTGTCATGGCAACTATTTAAATAACAAATCAGAGTGTCTGGCTAAACCTCAGTCTAGTAGGTTGATTACTGTCTTTCAAATATTGCATAATTTAAAGATGATTAAGGAAAAAATGTAAAATCTCAACAGTATAAAATAACCCAGTAATACACAGTTGTTGACACACTAGGTAGGCCTATCAGTTGGTCGCTAAACCCAAAAGTGTCGAGTTTGAACCCTCGGGCAGATGAGGCTCGTTAGCTCGGGACAGCAACTCTTCTAGGAGAGACAACTCTAAAATCAAACAACTGCTACCTTGTAGTTTGTTCTTGGTTGGACAAAGGCTATGGAAGCAAATCCAAAAAGAAAAGCCGGCTGAAATCGGAGTCAATGGCCTCAATGGCGCATTACCAATTGGCACGTAATCCTTAATTGTGATGGAAGCGTGGGCGAGTCGGCTAAAGCTAATGGTTGATAAATTCGAAAAAAAAAAGGTCTCGAGTTCAAACCCTCCGGCAGATCCCTCCCAACACTAAATATTAAGAAGAAGAAGTAAGTCTTCATTTCCAGAAAAAAATTGCAGCAAATGTTCTGAATTTGTTATAGATACTTTATTATATTATATTTAGTTGTGTTTATGAGTAACGTGAGAGGGCGGTCTTTATATAATGATACGTGTAATGCAGAATGATTTAAAAATATAAACGTGTTCTACTAATCTGATGTAAAACGTATATTTGCTTCTGTTTATTTTAAACGTATGTGTATGACGTCAACAGACACAGGCAACGATGTACCTAGTGCAGCTATAGCCGTACCACTTGTGTTGATAGTTCTACTCGCTGCTTGTTTAGTTGGAGCCATTGTATATTGGAGGTGCCTGCGTAAATTTAATAAAACCTATTATTTACAAATTATACACATTTTACAACTTCACTTCCTATTTTCTAGCCCGTAGATAGGTGGTCTAATATAGGTTTAGAATTTCAATAATTTCTGCTTATAAGAATTATTGTTAACCTGTTTTATATTTTAAAATATAGTTCTTATACAAACCATAATGCATGCGTTTTAAAAAAATAAAGTTCCTATACGAACAATAATTTATTCGGATAAAATTTTAAGAGTAAAATATATTGCTTATAAAAACGTATAATGAATTTTGTTTAAAAGTACACATGGAATACAACTAAATGCATTATACATGTAGCTTATGAGCAAGAACATTGATGTTTTATCTTCTTTAATTGTTTTCTATTACGTTAAGACGTGGAAACTGTAAGCTGGGAAAGAAGAACAAACAGTCCGTTTTAGACAGTAACAGCCTAGATGACTTCGAGACGGGTACAGAACTTCCATACACGATTGGTAAGTCTTGAATTTTATTTTTTTCAACTATAATTTTTTAACTATAGTTTTTTATTCAAGTAGTAAACATGTATTTAAAACTACTCATTACAGATACAACATTAGATGTTTCAAATTTGTACTTTTTCATGCAAACACACAACAGAGAACACTTTGTTGAAGAATTCAAGGTAAGGTAGACAACTTATATATTCAATATAGAAATTATACGATTCTATATTTTGAAATAACCCACAAGGAAAAAGTTGTGTAAACACAGCTAATTTAATTATCGAAACAATTTTTTTTGTTTTTTTGTTTTTAGAGAATCCCAGCACCAAAGAAAGTATCCACAAAAGTAGCAGACAGCGAAGGAAACAGAATCAAAAATAGATATAGAAATATCAGTGCATGTAAACTTTAATTTTCTTATATTTTAATAAATTCTACTTTAGTTATTGCAAATAATTTATTTTGTAAAAGCTGTTTTGGCATTTTAAAACGCATAACTAACCTTATAGTATTTACAAAATACTGTGTGAAAATAAATACATGAAGATATTTATTATGCTTTATCCTTCTTTGCACATCATATATATATATATATATATATATATATATATATATATATATATATATATATATATATATATATATATATATATATATATATATATATATCGGCTACATATATAATGTTATATTACGCATTATATTTCCAAATTAGACGACCACTCCCGCGTCCATCTAGAAATCAACACAAACAAGAACGAGGGCGACTACATCAACGCTTCATACATTGAGGTAAGTTACTTTTTTTAGGTGGGATTAGATATCTTCATTGGTGATGGTATTGTATTGTAGTTTGTTTACATAACTATGTTAAAAAAAAACTGAAGAAAATGTATATTGTTGTGACACCTTTCTATATATGTAAAATATATAGGCCTATTCATTACCTCAATGCAGGGTTATTGCAAGCACGATAAATACATTGCTTCTCAGGGTAAATATAAACACAATTTGAATTGTATTTAAAAAGTAGAAAACTTACTCTCTAAATCTAATTAGTTTTGTATATTTAATTGATTTGATGCAACAAAGAATTAATAAACTTCTAAATATTAATAATTTAGGGTTTACACTATAAATACGTGATATATATTTTTGTATTCTTTGTATTAAAATACCCACATTATAGGCCCTTGTGAATCGATGCTGAACGATTTCATTCGAATGTTGTGGGAACAGAAGATTGATAAAGTCGTCATGCTGACTAACTTGATTGAAGAGGGGAAGGTAGGGAAAATGTGTGTTCTTTTGTTTAATCTTGATATTCAAACTAAGCTGAAGTAACAGAGCTACATAAACACCAGCTCGTTACCCAGTCAGTTAACTTGATAAGTAACGTGACTTAAACGTTTAAAATCACGATGTTATCTTATAGTTTGTGTCCATATTCAAAAGTGTGACAATGTTTTGAATGATTTAAGGTGAAATGTTTAAAATACTGGCCTGACGAGGGAAAGGAAAAGTTTGGAGACATCAAAGTAAAGCTAGCAGCCACACACGTCTTTGCTGACTATACCATCAGAAAACTGGAACTAAGCAAGGTGATGTTTATAAGGGGGAAAATATACACATCATTTCTTGAAAGAAATGCAATAACACTTATACGTGTGTTTCCAAAAATAAAGTTTTAACTAAATGTGAACATTTAATTACAGAGGAACCAGCCGACCCACCCGTTGACCCACTTCCACTTCACATCCTGGCCAGATAAAGGTGTGCCGGCCACTCCCTGGAGTCTGGTGGACTTTGAGCAGAGGGTGGCCATGGAGGAGAGCACCAGGCCCATGGTCGTACACTGCAGGTGAGCTCACACATTAGTGATGTTTTAATAAAGGTAGTTAGGTGCAATAGCTGTTTAGGTAGGGAAAGTACGTTACACGTGTACACTTTAGGTATGACAAGTTCATTACACGTATGCAATGGATATATGATATATACATCAGACATGTGAACTGCAGATGGATTAGCTGTATTAAACGTGTACTTGAAGGTAGGATAGGTAGAATAAAGACACTAGTACGCTGCAAGTGAGGCAAACACACTTAGCGTGAACATATTTCAGTTAGATCCGGAACACTAGAACAGCAGAATAGATACACAACATTTTAAATTGTAACGCAGATTCAATGGACACACTACTCTTGACATTGTACTGCTGATTGAATACACACACTACACTTATAAGTGTACTGTATATAGAAGAGGCACACTATCCATGCAAATTGCATTGCTTTTGAAGACACTTTTTATAATGCTGCTGTAGGATGTAAATAGTAATAACATCTTGTGATATTCCAGCGCTGGAGTGGGTCGTACTGGAACTTTTATTGCATTACGTAACGTGATGAGAGAAGCTGAAGACACGGGTGTGGTCAACTTCTTCCGTACGGTGTCCAAGTTACGGCAGGATAGGATGATGATGATACAGACTGCTGTAAGACTTAATTAATTAGACTCTTGTTTCTTCCGTTAGGTTAACCCACTAAACACAAATCTTTCATATACCTACATCTACAGGATATTCGCATTGAACAACTTAATACAATTGTGTATACTATTATGTATCTGTAGGCTGTAAGTGTAAGCAACAGATGTAATATCTAAACGAATTTCATACTAAATGCTACCTAAATTACCGTCCAGGAACAATACGAGTTCCTGCACAAGGCCGCCCAGGTCGCTATAGTCTGTATGGGAACTACAGTCACATCACGTGACATCGAGTCTAGAATCAGCTGGCTGCAGGAGAGTCAAGTCGGGGGTGGAAGTCACATGGAGTCAGAGTTCAAAGTAAACTACATGCTATACATGTTTCACTTTTTAAGATTATTTTTTATGATGTTTGTGGTTGTTTAAGTGACATATACGTCTTTCATCGCTGTTAACATAATTCTTGAGTTGTTTTCTTCTATACTTGATAAATTAGTGATAACAATAATGAAATGACATAATTCGAATCTAGCAATAATTGTAAAAATGAGAATGAATAAATTGATGACAATCGTTTTCAGTCTGTTTCTGCTGTCTGTGATTACTTGTGTACGGCTAAACCAAGAGAGACGGATGACGGCAGTGAGATGAATGTTTACCAGAACGGTGGTGTGTGTGTTGACGCAGAGTTGAACAGGGACCCTACCGTGTTGCCAGGTAAGGTTTGATGACCGGAACTATTCACACAATGAACCTGTCGAAATTCCAAATCTTACAAGTCTTTCCCCGGTCTTTTGACTGTTTTTGGTTATTTCTTTATGTATACTGTTTACTATTATTTGCGATAAAGCTGGATACATACATAAAGCATTAATGTATACAATTTATTTGACATACAGACAGTTATTACCAAATCAGGTTGTCACGTGAGACCACACTAATGAGGGATTACATCAACGCCGTGACTGTCCCGGTGAGATAAGTGTTTCATATTATTTCACGTTGTGTTTGCTACACCTTAATTAGACTGTTAGAATATGTTTAGAAGGATACTTATTTGACAATATGCCTAGAGCGCTAGGCTGCTAACTCGAAAGTATCGAGTTCGAATCCGGGTCCAAGTCAGCAGAACGTTCCTGAGTTCACTAAGATATAATGGGTACCTAACTCATGTTAGGGAAAGTAAAGGCGGCTGGACAAAGTGCTGACCACGTCATTCCCTTCATATGCCGAGAAACATGTGAACTTTACTTCATCCGCTCGATGGATCGCAAGGTTTAAAGAGTATTCTTTACTTTTTTTCGTGCATATTTGACAAAACTTACAATGTAACTCACCCAGGGCTTCACCAGAGCTGACGGTCAGATCCTGACACAACTGCCAATGCCAGCAACTGTCGTTGATTTCTGGAGACTAGTGATGCAATACAATGTTGCTCTAGTGGTAGCTTTTGAGATGGATATGAGAGGACAAGACAAGGTGACTGTAGAAATAGGCCTACATATGATTGAAATAAATAAATAAATAAATAAATAAATAAATAAATAAATAAATAAATATATATATATATATATATATATATATATATATATATATATATATATATATATATATATATATATATATATATATATATATATATATATATATATATATATATATATATATATATATATATATATATATATATATATATATATATATATATATATATATATATATATTCATAGACGATCGGACAGTACCTACCAGAGAGCAGTACTCAGCCATTATCTTGTGGACTATATGAAGTGTCGACGGGCCCTATAAGGAAAGAAGACCATTGTGAGATACAAAATGTCAGTGTCAAATCTACGCAGAAAAACATGTTGCCTCAAGTAAGTTTACCATTGATTATATCTAAATTACATATTACAACTCTACTAGTATTAGGTATAGCAAAGTATTGTTTATTATATATTTAAACATTTGGATTGGTAGATTACTTTCAAACGTCATTTGATTTGTGCACATCAAGTGTTAGATAGTAATATTGAATGTTATGTGTTACAGACTGCGAATGAACAATCTCTCAAACACATCAGCTTTAAAACTTTGAACCTTGACCCTGACAGCTGGTTAAATGTTATGATGAAGACACGAGCAAGTAATACACAGGGACGTACACTTTTCATGTGCAGGTAGGTAGCACGAGTTTCCCCTTTGAGTAGCGAGACTAGTTATAAAAGAGTATTTATAAAGGAAACTATACTACAGCTCTCTATTCCTGTTCTAATGACAACACAATATATCTGACGTCCCCAGAAACGGGGTGACCTACAGCGGTCTGGCGTGTGTGTTGAACCTGTTACTGGACAGGCTGGACCACGACCAGAGCCTGACAGTTCCACTGGTGGTTGGTGCCGTCAAGTGTATCAGACCTCAGGTCATCTCCACACTGGTCAGTAGATTATCACTTGTTTTTAGTTAACTGTAGCAAGCTACAACGTTTAAAGTTCATTTAACTTTAACATTTTGTTTGTTGCAGGACCAGTATCACTGCCTGTATCAAGTTCTACAAAAATATAACGACGCATTATCCCAATATGGAAACTTCAACTTTGCGCAGACGTCCCTAAAACAGCAAACTTTACAACCAACATTTAATGATGCCATTTACGCTAACACTTAAAATACACATGCCGTTTTTTTTTCATTAAAAAAATCTTAACGTATATTTTTTACTACTGAATGTAGTTAAATATATGCTCGTGTCCACTTCAGTATTCACTGTAAAATTATACACATTCAACCCAGAAAAACATAACCACACTATTAATGTTGTAACGCTGTGTATAGCTCATGATTTTAAGTTTAACCACTTAGAAAAACGTATTTGGTCTTAACAACAGTTTCAAACTATTCCCTTATAATTTTATAAGTGCCTTCTAAAAACAACTAACTGCCCCTCTAATACATGTTTAAAACTAATGTATAAAACTTACTAGTTTTTTTTAAGCTTTGAAGTTTAACTTATGATAGACAAATACCTTTTATCTTTAGAAGTAAATCATGTTTAGCTTTCAAGAAATGAAACATGGTGTAAAACAATTATAGAGATGATTGAAACTGGTTCATTTGTTCCTGTTACCTCTGTATATGACGTATTAATAGTAGTTAACATATTGTTTAATTTTGTAAAAAAAAAAAAGACGTACTAGTTAATTATAATTTATCTGTATGATCATATTATGTAAAAGCAAATTTACACAAAAATGCACGCATTGTAACATGTATGTACTTTGAATGTAAATATGCTCTATTCACTGATGCCATTTTGTGTTGAAACATTGCAATACCGTATTTTTACATTTATTAAGGTTTTATTATTATTTTAAAACGGGAAAGTGACTAACATTGAGCAAGACCTGTAAATTAATCCATGGTAAAACATGTTTGTGCAAGTATTTATGAACATATCCTTGTTAACTGTGTATACGACCATAGACACGAATAAAGTAGGTGTATATATTAACTGAAATAACTAAGCCAATAATGTGAATATTTAACGGTTCTGGTCACAACAATTGTATAGATTTTGTTATTGAAATAAAATTACCTACCTTTCATTATTATAATTGTCCTGAGTACAAATTGTCAGCGTCTATTTGCAAGTGTCTTTATTTCAAAACATATGCAACTAACCACCTACTTAATATCATTAATGTTATGCAAACGATAGATAACTATAAAAACGACTGAGCCGATGGAATTTACATGTTCAGAATATAGAACACATTTTTCGCACAGACTTTGTCAATTGCTGGAGGCAGTTTTTTCTGAGATGTGTTCATCATTGCTGCGATACAGTAAATAAACACACGTCTTCGGAAGCAATAGATAAACCATAGTTGTAAGGAGAGTAATCATACCCGGGTATCCGAAAACAACTACTCGGCAGCTGTTTCTATCTACTCTAGCTTTCCCAACATAGGTTGTAGACATCATCCTCTAAAAATTCTCACTTATACTTGACCCGCTCCCGCATCTATAAACCCACAATGCCTTTCTTTTAATTTTGCTATTTTACATAGTCATTGTATTTTGTCTAGCAAGTATCACAGATCTAATTCTATTACTTCAGGGGCATTTATTACGACTTAAAGTAGTAGCAGGCGTTGTTAAGCTCCTACCTACGGTGGGTGATCAATTATAACTCGTTTCAAATGTCCTCTGCTAGTTTACTTCTTTCACCAAATAGTGTTAGGTGTGCAGGAATTACTTAGAGAAGGTTAGTAGTCTCTTCGAAAAATATTTAAAGTGTTTCGACATTTAGTGCAGATAAAATAAAATCTGTTTAATCAAAGGTGTATACTTAATGATTTCTGGATGAAGATTAGATTATGATTTTATGATACTTCTCATGCCACCAAGAAAGTTATTTATAGATCTAAAAATATCAGGTGGCCAAGCAAATTCAAATTCAAATTTATTTAAAAAAAACTGTTACAATTGTAGGCACGAAGGCCTTTTTTTCACATTTGCCGTTTAAACAAATAAAACAATTCAATAACACATAGCAGTAACATAGCACTAAAAATGTGGAATAAAGAAATAATGTTACATAGTTATAATACAAAATGAGATAAAAAAGAGAATATAATAGATGAATGAGAAATGTTACAATGAGTCAGTTAGAGAGGTCATTAAATAATTGTAGTTTTAGTTTAGATTTGAATATATTTTCAGATCTAGATAGCTTTATTTTATTAGGAAGATTGTTCCAAAAATTAGAACCAGAGTAGGCGAAGCTATGTTTTTGGAAAACAAAGTTGTATATGTGAATGGTAAATTAAGACGACGATTTAATTTTATGTTAAAATAAAATAGGTCTGATAAGTAAGAGGGGGCTGTTTGTAACTGAGTGACACAGCACTGCAAGTTATTTATAGATCTACATCTAGAATCTAGGTCAAACCAAAGATTAATTAGATACATACCAAAGATTAATTAGATTAAAATACAATCCATTTTAAAATCATAATACATTTTTTAGTCCTTAAATACTTGATATACATTTTTGTGATTTATCTATCTAGATCTAGATCTATCTAGCTAGAATAGGTCTAATGATTAGATCTAGATTCTAGATCTAGATCTAGCAAGAGTTACGCAAAAACTAGACTGAAGATTGTAGAGCTTGAGGAATTTATTGTAAAACTAAATAAAAAAGACAGTTGAAAATTTATATAAGTGTTGGAACGTAATAAAAACAGCAAACGGACATATTGTTAAAGTTATGGCCGACAGAAAATTAGATTTAGAACGCTTTAAACTTTTGAATGGGCCACAAAGTCTATGATGGAAGCCGCCATCTTATTGTACTAAAAAGTAAACAAAACTTGTGACGTCCCTATTCAGTCAAGGTAAAGCTATTGTTCTAAAACTTTAAAATTAATGTGATTGATCTACCAATAAATAAATCAATAAATTAATTAACGTCTTTAAATAAATTTGTGATTAACATTCTGTCTGAAAATAAAAACAAAAATTGTTCTCTACCTACATACTATTTTACAGCTCTCAACCTAGCGCCGATTCTTTCCAGTATTCAATCAGACAAACAAAAAAAAACAAAGAAATAAATATTCAAACATGTAAACAAACTTGAGTTTTAGTAGTATAGAGATAGGGCCTACTCATTATGTCTGTCATATGCTATATAATTAACACGTGTAATATTAAATGATAATGTAATAAAAGAAAGCATTCTTATTCAACAAAACTGTTACTCATATCAGCGTTTCTTATTTGGCCAATCTTCTATAATTATGTCAGAGGTACCGCGGTCATCTAGGTCGGCATTACGGTAAAAAGTATGTATAGTTATACCACTGTCTGGCACTTAGCGAGTCTAGGTTAAGTATAAAACAAATATCTCTCAGAAAGATTATAATCTCGTCTCTTTAACAAGGATGTATATCTATTTGAGCCTGGTATTCCATTTCTACGTCAAATATTGATTGGCTTCTACTAAGTGATTTCCCCCAATCACGCTTCAGTGAACTCTAATCCTTGGCACCAGGAACGGCATTAGCCTGTTGGTGTGTTTACGTGACTCCACAACACTATGGGCTTGAGAGTGGAGAGTGTGCGAATTATTGGCTCGTGGTAAGTAAAGTAGTCTGTTAAATAAATTGTATATTTTAGGGTAATATCGTTGATAGTGGAATTTTATAAAACAGGAAACGTGTGAAAATATAAAATATAAGTCTTTGATGTGTTGTACATGTATTCACCGACTAAAAATATTTCAAAATACAATACTCAATGTATTACACATAACCCACTTTTAATGTCACTACATGTATAATTTGATTTTCGAAAAAAAAACTGGTTAGATATATATATTGACAGATATTTTAACGAAGCTAAACTTTTTGCCTTTATTTTTTTAATAATAAAAATGTCTAGTTATTATTTAGATGAAGTCAATATTTTTGTTAAAAAAGAGAGCTAAAAATTGTGTCAAAAAGCAAGGCCTGGCAAAAATGCCAAATACGCGATAAAGACATACAACAAGGATAAAAGTTGTATCTTTATAGCCTATATTATCTTTGGTTACTATGCTGTAACTAAATATAGTCTATTTGCTTTGAACTCTGATTAATGATTAATTATTTTCTAAACACATTCGTTTTATTGCACATCAGTTGTCAAATTAGTAATGCGTATGATATATTCTTGGCAGATCAATGCCGTCAGTCTAGACCAAATTTAAAGTTGTGTACAGTAGGCCCCTACTTTGGAGTTCCAATAAAACATATTTGAATAGAGCATAATGTGCTTTACATTAAGAGAAATGCGAATTGCAAATGATTTGGCTTAACCTGAATAAATATAGCACATTGAGGAAGTAAAATAGTGAAACGCACACGCTTGAAAATAATCGTAATTGATTAGTGACAATATCCCAGATTACATTTTTTTTTAAAGTTTAAAAGTTTAAAAAGAAAAACATTTTTATCACCCTTTCGTTCTACGTAAAATTATATAATAAACAAACATATCTTAAAAAAGTAAATCATGGCTCAATACGTTTAGTATAGGTAAGATATGCTTTTTTAATATATATATATATATATATATATATATATATATATATATATATATATATATATATGTACATATATATATATATATATATATATATATATATATATATATATATACATATATATATATATATATATATATATATATATATATATATATATATATATATATATATATATATATATATATATATATATATATATAACGCAAACAATGTTTTAAAAAAAAATACCTAAATGTTCAGGATTCTAAAGATTGATTCACGATGACGTATTTGAGCAATGCTATATTTCTGCTCTCTCTGAGTCTGTACACAACCCGTGTGTCTGAAGCAGGTAAAGTAAACTTTAGGGTTAAAAAACTTAACAGTTAACAGTTAAATATATGACGTGTATTACCTCTTGTTCCTGATTGAAATATTATCCAAATGTTAGACGTGTGACCCTACCGTCAGCCACAACTTTACCGTAACGATATGTTTATCAGATTAGTAAACATATCAATATACTGATAATAACATCTATGTACACAACACTATATAAACTATGCTATATATGCTATGTTTAGCAAGTTATCTCTCCCCAAGTTTAAATATACAAGCATGGTAATGATATATTTATCGCCAGTCACTTCGTTAAAATCAGGACCTATAACATTGACCATGAATGTAATCATACTTCGTTTTATAGAAAAATAAAAATCGCTAAATTGAGATTTTTATATATTAGTTATTGCACTTTTTAATAACTGCTATCAGTTTGCTTTATTTTTACATATGCAATATGTCAAAATAAGTTTAAATAACAATATATTTCAGCTTGCACAACTGGATGGTTTGGCACCAATTGTACGTATAAATGCCACTGTTCAGACACAAAATGTAATGTCGTCACTGGTGAATGTGCTACAGCATGTGCGTCCGGCTGGTTCGGACCTGCGTGTCAATATCGTAAGTTACACACACAGCCCGTTTAAACCAGTTTTATTTCGCCAGTTATAAAATTACATATAACACGTAATTTTGAACTTTACCACTTTGCAACGGTATCGAATGTAACAATACGTTTTTAGAATTAATAGTTAGTTTAGGGCCCTGTAAGGTTTCAATACCAGTACCAAACACCGAGAGTCCCACAACCGGTGTACCTTCTCGAAGTCCAAACTTAGTCCCGAACAGGTTTGAATAAATTTGAGAGAACCCCTAGTGTATTTTCACTCCAGTTTTACTTTACTCCAAAATGCCATCAACTCAGCAGATGATTGAACCATCAGGACAAGATACCGACTCCCTCTCGCATCACAAACCTAGATTAAATAAACTCCCTTGCACGCAACAACAACACAGTTTCTACATTAAATATCACTATCTTCCATACCTGTCATAACTTCGTACGTTCATTAAATATAACACCCAGATACATTTTTTTGCAGATTACTGTGACAAAACAAAGATCATAACAGTTCATATATAGATATTGTTTTATTTTTTTTTTATAACGAAGTATGTAGATGGGTTGGAACTTAATATATTAGATCATTGTCTTAATTGGTAGGCTAAGCAAATACTGCTAATACAGTAGTTAACTTAATTAATCTAATTAACTTAATTTATTAAATTAATTTCAGAGGACCTTGCTCTGAAAGCTACAACTTCAACACAAAACAAATTGATTTTAGACAACACTGACACTACTTGTGTTACTGTAAGGAACATCACATTCGAGTGGCCGTGGCAGTTTGTTTTAACTTGGATTAGAATTAACTCAAATTACACAAATTTGTGTAAGTATAAAGGCTATAATTTTCAAGTATTTTCAAATTATTTGATTTCTAAATATGTTAAGTGAAATATTAAGATTCCATTAAAGTAGTGATCCCTCAAGTATACATGATCCGGCTATATTTATTGGTATCAATACAACAATTGCAACTTTTGAATTTAAACAGCTTGGCAGTCAGAACTGAACGTAACAGGAAAAGAAAACATAAATGCAGCCAGCAAAGCTTTGTCGTGCAGTCTGTATACTTATGTTTTGAACAACAAAACAATATCTGACGTGTATTGTAGCTCTAATATTCTAATAGATCGCCTAACTATCACCTTTGGAAAAAATGTATCAGTCTGTTCAATGTACGTCAGTGGAGGTAAAGAACGCAATTTGTAAACTTTTTAGCGCAATTTCCATTCTGGAGAATTGCGTTTATTAACTTTTTTTTTCTGGGAATGGATGGATAGATGGATGTGTGTCCGCAGCTTTAAGTCGTATCTCCTCCTCAACGAAGCAATATCGATGACTAGTTCCAAAGCAATTATGTTAACCTAGTTACCAGGATGAACATAGGCTAAAAATATTCCGGGTTTCTTTCATGGATTTCCCGGAAAAGCCAAAAAACCTCGAAAAAATGCAGTTTTTGGCCCATATCTCGGCAACCAGACCTTTTAGCGACTTGAAACATTTACCAATCGATTTCTGCCATAATTTAGAACAATATTGCCGAAGAAAGTTTTCAAAAATATCCTTTTGTTCGGTCACAAAAAAAATTTTTAATTAATTAAAATTTGGACCGAATTAGTAGGCATTTTTTCCAACCACACCACACGCGTCATCACGTTCAATAGCTGCGCCACGTTCTATGGCTGCGTCATCACGTTCAGTAGCTAGGCGCGCAATGGTTTTTAGTCATGTAACTCTATTTTAAATAAAACATGTATTTTAACCAATGGTTTTAGTAACCCTGCTCTTGATTTACGCTACGACAGAGCTATTTTTTAGATAACATAAGGAAATTGCGCTAAAATTGTCACTAGACTTTTTAATTACCTTGTTTTAGTATAGATGAGTGTACTGTATCGAAATAAGAAGTGTCTGAATTAAATCATAGGTTTATACAAGTCATTGAAATAAAGTTACATATATCCTATTATTTTATTAAATGGAACGCACTGACGTCAACAAATATTGAGCTACTATTATTTTATATATAGGCCTACTCATGTTCGATTGTACAAGTCTTTTTTCTTTCTAAGCTGTTCATAATGGATATTATTTTGCTTTAATAATTGGTGAAAACTTCACGTAATGCCTAGATTGGGACGCATTTAATCTATGCCATTAGTTATACAAATATTTAGTAACAATTAATACTTTTTTACAAAGATACAATTAATTATTCTTTTTACTTTTGCAACTTTTAACGGTATAAAAAGAATATATCTTTTAAAATTTTACAGTGCTAATAAGGGCAATCGCGACGGTGTAAATAATAAATACACACAACGCAATATATAATTTGTTGGTTGAAAAATGTATGTGTGCATGTTGTGCAATAGTTATTACATAAGTAAATACTTTAAAATAATACATAGATAAATGACATGGTTTAAATATTGTGCGATATCAACAACAATCAGGTAGAAATGTTGCCCTACAGCAGTCAACAACTCAATCGACTAACAGCAGTGCCTACACCCCAGCGAAAAATGCAGTAGACGGTGATTTTAATACATTTTCGCAAACATTAAGTACTAATCCAAGCACATGGAGTGTCACATTCGACAGCATATATATTGTGAATAGATACGTACTGACTGGAGGTATGTGAAATATGTTTTATATTTGTAGAAAATTATTCCTTTAAATCGGTTGCTTTTAATTTGTTTGTACTCATTTTCAGAGATTAATACGTTTCTAAATTATAAATAAATTATCAAATACAAATAATTAACAAAACAAAAGAAAAGTAAGCATGTGTTACTATTAATGTTATCAAATGCTCATCAATCGAATGGTATAATTCGAGATACGACCTTAATGTTTCTGCAATATAGCTCGTATGTCTAATTGTTCGTATGTCAAAAGCAATTTTCTCCATTTAATAAAATTGCTATTAATCCGTTCCATCCCCCAAAATATCACCCCTGTTTTTTTCCTTATGTGTTTTTTAATAATAAAAGTGTATTTGTATATGATAAAGCGTGTTTAATAACAAAATGTAGAATAATACAAAGAAAGTGTATTTATCTTAAAAATCAGTAAACTTGAGCTTAGGGAAGGTATAAATCTAGTTTAGGGTGGCGAACATAGGCGGATAAGCTTTAATCTTTTACTCACTGCTAAGTTATTTCTTTATCCACTTACTCGTACATTCATAACGCTAAACTTTATCTGCACAATTAACGGAAATTATACTTGACTAAAATACATGTTATAATAAAAAGTTTACTTACTGTCGATGAATTTTAGTCAATGCTTCTTTCTTCGCTGTTCATTGTTTTTATATTCAAGCTTTCCATACATTTCCGCGCTGGACGTAAAAAAACAAACAAAAAAATTGAGTTTGCTTTTTCCTCCCATTCAAAAAGATTAGATTATGAGATAACAGGTGTAATTAAATAGCAGGTCTCATAGAGCTCACGGCGGAGCCGGGAGCGCCAAAGCACACCCTGACGGAACGCCCGACGATGCGCCTGATTTAATTTACTGACCGACTCTAATACCCCAATATTATTCATAGTCTACCATACTGTTTAAATAGAACGTATGCGCCATAGCGCTCACGGAAAAGCCCGGGGAGCCAAATAGCACCCTGCCAGGGCGCCAGCGGACGAGCCTGATTAATCTAAACGAACGACTGTAATACTCCATCTCATCCATAGCCTATCGCACTTTTTAAAACAAAAGTAGGCGCCATAGTGTTCGAAAGAAAGCCCGTGGTGTCAATTCGCATCCTGCCGGAGCGCCGAAGACCGCGCCTGATTCTATATAGTTAACTATTATTGATGTCCATTGTGTCTTTAGTGTAAAGACTCAAAAACAAAAAAGAACGTGTGTGCCATTGTACTCACATGTGAGCCTGGGGCGCTTCGGGTCACGCAATCGCCGTGGCGCCAGTGGCTTCATATGTTACAATTTTATAGTGAATTACAGTAGTACCCCTTACTACTATTGTTATAATTTTAACTTATACGATCATATTATACTTATATATATATATATATATATATATATATATATATATATATATATATATATATATATATATATATATATATATATAAATATATAAATATACATATACATACATATATATATATAAATATGTATGTATTAAATATGTATAATATATATATATATATATATATATATATATATATATATATATATATATGTATATGTATATACATATATATATATATATATATATATATATATATATTTATTTATTTATTTATTTATTTATTTATTTATTTATTTATTGCAGCTGCCGGGAAACTAAATGGTTACCAGTTACAGTTGTTTAGCGCAGATAATTCAACTATCCACAACTACACAGACACCAGTAAAGTAACCACTACAGCGGTTTATGTCACATCTAGCACACTAAAGAGTGTGATGAACGCCAGGATAAAGTACAGCACTTCCTTAAAGATTTTCGAGGTTGAGATCTATGGAGGTAATTTTATAATATGTAATATAACATGATTTAACTGACCATGTTGATATTTCACCAAATAAAAGTTGTTGTTTTTTTTTGAAAATTTAAAAACAATTAATTTATTTTAAATAAATTATTCTAGGTTTTTTTTATAAAGTGGTATATAGTATGTTTTTTATTGCTTAGAATTAAAGCAACATCTATAGAAATTATCCATTGACGAGGGAAAAAAAGAATGCATTCAATATTTCTTCAAACGCAGTTTTATTCATAGATTGCCGATATTCTCGTATACGTTGGTCTCAGTAAAATTTGATAATAACTTAAAATACATTAAAAGTAGAGTTCTTCAAATATTGCTTGTGATTTATATTTCGATACTTTGGTTTTATTTATTGATATCTACATTTTTGTATACATCATTATCTGTTTAAGTTATTGGACTAATAATTAAATCACATTTTGAAAAGGAGCGGAACATCAATAAATGGATATAATGTATATTAACTGGACAAAAGGAACAATTTACAATTTTAGAAAATGAAAACTTAATAACAGACTGGACGAGTAGGCCTAATGGTGATTGCTATTTTAAGCGTGTGACTTATGCTTTTAAAAAGTTTCGAATGCCAACTATGATTTTAAATTGAGATTGAACATTAACTTAACTTATACATGCACATTCACATATTTACTCTCATAAACATATAAACAAGCAAATAAAAACACGTACGCAACAAATTACGTAATTTTACTTTTATAACAAGCCTTGTAAAATTATAAAATGTAACTTCATAGAGCAATACAAGTTATAAAGACGCCCAGTTTTGTTGCACCACGTAATTTAACGGATTGCTTTCTGTTATGTATCTAGATTCAGAATGTAAGAGCAAAACGTTTGGGCTAGAATGTACCAAGACCTGCAACTGTAACGACCCAACTGAGACATGTTTTGTAGCTACAGGTGGATGTCAGTCTGGTTGTGCTGTGGGGTATCAAGGAGAAGGGTGTGATACAGGTGACTATTTATATTCTTAAAATATAGACTTTCTTTTTCATTTCACTTTGTAAAAAAATTGTACCTTGCACACTACCTATTACGTGTATAAAAATCTTAGTGACAAGAAAAAAATGTATTACTTCTCTGTGCAATGTAACTATCAATGCAAAAAAAAAAAACAAGAAAAAAAACAAACAAAAAAATCTAAGTTGGTTTAATCAATTTAAATAATATACAGGTATAGAATTACAGCACCCTTATCAAATTTAAGTAGGGAAGAACTATTGTTATAAAAGTTGAGTAAATTGAAAGCTTCTGAAACCCACTTGTCGAACATTTTGTCGAACTATAAAACATTGTCAGGTATTCTGTAATAAGAATACACTTTAGCTATAATTAAGTGAATACATGTATTTAAAATTAATATATTATTTGCACTATTTTAGTAAGTTCTTAATTAATACATTATTAAATATTTTAAAACATTCTATTTAACATTCATAAGTTATATTCATTTTTCACTTTGAATAAAAAGCATAGTACTACAATAAACAATTTTTAGAATAAAGAGTTCTATGTCACAAGGACTTCTGCACGTAAGGAGATTCTTTGTTTAAATAATAAAACTGCATACCTACTTAAATTGTATTGGTAAATAATACGTTATAGCACATACACATGTTCTAATGTGCGAAACTATTTCGAACAGTTTGTGACAACAAACACTACGGGTACAATTGTGCGAGTGTATGCCCGTCACAATGTGACACAGCTGGTTGTAACAAGACAACGGGCAAGTGTTTTGGTTGTGTTGCTGGGTACAGGGGAGACAACTGCGATATTGGTAAGATTATATTCCCTTATTATTCAAAATTTAAACAGAGCTAGCTAATATACGTAACAACTACTGTATACCTGATTTAACGTGATCTACAGTGTGTAATGCAGGATCATGGGGAAAAGGATGCAATAACACGTGCCCAAACTGTGTTGAAGTGAATTGTAATAACACAGATGGTGTTTGTCTAAATGGATGCGCGAGTGGGTTTAAGGGAAAGATGTGCGATTCAAGTAAGTTTTGATTATTACATAAATGATTGCATTGTATTAATACAATCATTGGCTTACAACGGCATTACATTATTTTTTTATGACTCTGATGAAACATTGGGTAATTTAATTCGTTAAATTAATGTCTATAAACTAGCTTGCATTTACGTATTGTTTTACCACTTGAAATATAATTTTAAAAAGCCAAGTTGTATTTTTTTTGTTTTAAGTACACGTATCAATAAAAGCTTCACTATTAAATACATGTTATTCTTAAAGAAGGAGCTATTATAATTTTTGAGTGTGTAGTTAAAGTAGTAGATTAAAACAAAACATGTGAACAAATATTAAACTTCAATATTTTTTAAGAATGTGATGAAACCTACTATGGAGAAAACTGTGCCCTCAGATGCTCGGCGAATTGTTATAACAGCTTATGTGACTATATAAATGGATATTGTAAATCTTGTAGCCCGGGCTTTCAGGGAGAATTTTGTAATGATAGTAAGAATTTTTTTCAATAAAAACATAATTTTAAAAACAATAGTTTATTCAACATTTTTGATACATTCGCAGTATATATAATTGTCAATTCAACACACACAATTATGAGAAATACTAACATAAATGACTTAAAATTATATCATCTTTATATTATTATTACATACAGTTATCTCTCTAGATGTTTTAAAAATGAAACCACAAAGTTACCATTTGATTCCTAGCAGTTTTTTTTTAAATATTAAGTCTGAACCGGTTAGCATCTTATACATCGTTAAATCAATGTAAAGATAACCAAACATGCACAACCTGTGAATAACGTAGTTTATGTCCCTCTATATGCTGTGTAGAATGTTCTGAGATGTTTTATGGACAGAGCTGCGCCTACAAATGCAACGAGACGTGTCAGAGCTGCAATAATGTCAATGGAACCTGCACTCTCTGCACTGCTGGAAAACGAGGGGTCTATTGTGAAAGTGGTATTCAATTGTAGTTTTGTTTATTTTGTTTTTCTTAATGTTACCGCTTTTTCGTATATTCTAGTCTGCTTAATACTCACATTACTCTATATGTGTTTTATAGCTTGCCATCTTGATGGCTTGTGGTTTTGGAAAACTCTGCATTATTATTTCAGACTGCGAGGCTGGAAAATATGGAATAAATTGTACCAATAAATGTTCTTCAAACTGTAAAGATTCCTTATGTTTTGCTATCAATGGCATTTGCAAAAGTTGTAATCAAGGATACAAGGGCGATTTTTGCAATACACGTAAATATTTGTATTATTTATTAGACTAGTTTTAAAATTTAATAATATTGTATTAAATACCAACTTAGTAATACATGTTTGTATACACTTTCGATAATTTAGAAATCGAACTGTAATCTCTAAGTTATAAGTGGTATTTTAAAATTACAGAACGTATTATTTGAAAATAATAATTTAACGAACTTAAACAAAAGTATCAAACATAACGACACCGTTCAACGTGTATCTGTCATTTTGCTGTCACCTAAGCATAGCATATGTGATAGTGTGAAAAATGGCTTATAAACGGCTTAATATGTCGTCGGATTATTTAAAATAATGATTACAATCTCTGTGGTTTGAGATAATACAGAACAAGCTAAAATGATTGGTTCGACGTTTTAATATTGCGTGCACATTTTAGTTAAAGTAAAACTAAACTTTATATGAATATGCCCATTAATAATAAAGCTATAACATGTAAACAAAAAATTGTGAAACCGTATTTAATATTCGTCTTCAATTTAGCATGTGCAGACAATGAATATGGCTTCAACTGTAACGAAACGTGTTCTAGAAATTGCGAGAGAAATAAATGTGACGCTATTAACGGGACTTGCATCTATGGCTGTGTAGCTGGGTATCGTGGAGTCTTATGTGACCAAGGTAATGAGGAAGTTAATTTTTTTTTTAAACTCTAAGAATTTTACATAAACGACGTTAACAACAAAACATATGTTTCGGTTGTATTGATCTAAAATTAAAAATATTCCCTTGTAAGAATGTTACTTTCATCTGAAATTCCTAATTATATTATAAGGCATGTTGCGTTTTTCTAAAAGATAGTTGATAATTACCGAAATATTTAATGCTCAACTAAATATTATTTGTTACAATTTTCTAGCTCAATCCAACAATCATAATATTATTACACAATGGTTGCATACTATGCAGATGAAATTTGTTACATTAGCTTGCAGCCTCGGTAGTTATGGAGTTGGATGTCAACACAACTGCAGTACGTCGTGTATCAAATATGAGAACAAAACAGAGCACTGGTGTGATGTGGCCACTGGATTATGTTTGAACGGTTGCTATGAAGGCGATGTTAAAAACAAATATGAATGTCAAAAACTCATTGCAGGTACAAACGTACATACACACGCATACATACATATATATATATATATATATATATATATATATATATATATATATATATATATACCGAAATTCGTAGGATAAATTAGAATATTTCACAAACAAAACTCAATATCGTTCATTTCTATTCTAAATATTTTAATAAATATAATTTACTTGTTTTACAAATTTTAAATTTTAATATTAAAAAAAAAAAAACAACAAGTACACCTATTTATGTTTCATCGACAGATCCACCAAACAACACATCTGCTGCCGCTATTGTTGTACCTATCGTACTGATTCTCATCGTCGCTTGTTTGATCGTAGCATTTGTATTCTGGAGGTTTGGAATAATTGCATATTTCCTCAATCACATATCCTAAATGTAAAATCAAATCCAATACTTTATTCAATTTAATTTAAATCACTATTTTGAAAAAAAAAATGAAAACTGAAGTGGTTATTCGCGTAGCGAATTTCTCTGCTTCTGGATTATATTGGCTAGTATTTTTAAAAGCTATTATTTGTATGCAGGCGTAGTAAGATGAGATTCTGTGACAAGAACAAACACTCGGCACTGGACAATATCAGCCATGATTTAAGGTCACTGGATGACTTTGATAATGACAAGGATATTCCAAGTAAATCTGATATTTTCGATATTGTTTAGTTTAATAACACCATAATTTTTTGAAAATAATTAATTCACATAAGTTAAATTTTATGCTATGTTAAGACAATCAATTAAAACATTTGCAATATAAACAAATGACATAAATAATTAAAAAAAAATATATTTATTGCAATAATCATATTTTTAAAATAATGGTGAAATACACCAAACTTCAATAAATTACTTATACTTCATAATAGCATAGCCCTATTGTCATGCTTGCAGGTACAGAAACAAAGTGCAACACTTCAAATGAGGATACCCCGATAGAAGTTTCGAAATTGTATTTTTTCATGTGCAGCCACAGCAGAGAGTATTTTATTGAACAATTTAAGGTATTCCCACTTTGCTTTTTCAAAATGGGTTACTGAAAGTGCTCAAACACATACGAGGCACAACAAAGGAGCTTTAAAAATAACAATATTTTTTTCTTCAAACTTTTTTTCTGCAGAAAATACCTTCCCCTGCCAACGTATCTACCATAGTGGCAGACAGCGAGGACAACAAAAATAAAAACAGATACAGAAACATACGAGCATGTAATTATTTGATTATTTTACACAATTCACTAGAAACAAAACTAGTAATACGTTTGTTTAATCATACATATTTTTGTACGCATAATTAGCCACACCGTAACAAAAGGCTACATCGCTATATGAATACGTGTATTGATAAATGTTACACTTCAATTCCTCAATAGATGATCACTCTCGGATACACCTTGAAATTAACACAAAAAACAATGAAGGTGACTACATCAATGCTTCATATCTTGAGGTAAGCAAAAAGTAAAAATGCTGAATGTCATTAGGTTGTAAATCATCTTTTCTTCTTTCTTCCTTTGTAACCCCTGTGGATCAAATGGCTGCAGCCACACCTCTTCATCGAACTCTGTTTTTAGAAGCTCTCTTTATTTCCGCCCACTTAAGCCTGGCAGCCCCTGCCTCGTCTTTTACAGTCCTCCTCTAGGATCTCCTTGGCCGGTCTACTTTCCTCATGGGATTCACGTAAAGCCTTTAATATTTAAGATTTTTTTAAGTACTGTAAAGTTAGACAATTAAAGTACTTAGTAAAACAAATGTATTACTTACTTTGATGCAATAATTTACAGGGATACAATAATCAAGAAAAATTCATCGCTTCTCAAGGTAAAATACTTATCTTATTATACTTGAAACAAAAATGAAAAAAAAAAAACATCAATAAATGGTTTTTTTTAGATATTGTTATTATAGCAACTCATTTAAGGAATTTAAGAACGAAAAGTAGAGATAAACATAATTTTTCTTTTAGGTCCCTGTGCATCAATGTTGAATGATTTTATTCGCATGTTATGGGAACAGAAAGTAGAAAAAGTAATTATGCTCACCAATTTGATAGAAGAAGGCAAGGTAAGTAACACGGCTTCACTACATCAATTGTGTCATTAAAGTTTTTTGCAAGTTAATTAAATATATTTATTTGTAGTAGGTTAAAAGATAAATGGAGATTAATACTTTACAAATATCGATGGCCATCAAATTAAACATGTACACATTTATAACACAGTTCTCATGAAGTTTTATATCGGTATAATATTTATTTCAGAACAAATGTTTAAAATACTGGCCTGACGAGGGAAAGGAAAAGTTTGGAGACATTAAAGTAAAGCTAGCTGCCACACACGTCTTTGCTGACTACACCATCAGAAAACTGGAACTTATGAAGGTGATGTTTTGATAAATTTCACTAATGTGGCAAAAAAAAATCGGATCGGTAGTTTTTTAAAAGCATTTTAAATCCATTATTAAAAGTAATATAACCAAGTCTACTTTTCTTTACAGAAGAACGAGCCGACCCACGCGTTGACCCACTTCCACTTCACATCCTGGCCAGATAAAGGTGTGCCGGCCACTCCCTGGAGTCTGGTGGACTTTGAGCAGAGGGTGGCCATGGAGGAGAGCACCAGGCCTATGGTCGTACACTGCAGGTAGGTTTGGTACACTAGACGTGTACACTACAGGTAGGATTCAGACGTGTGTACTGCAGGTAGGATTGTGACACACGACTTGCACACTAAAGGTGAGATAGGTACTTACACAATTCAGGAAGGATAGGTAGACAAGACGTGTACACTGCAGGTTGAATAAATGCACTGGCCGTGTACACTTCAATTATGTCTATAAGGTATGTTAATTCAGAATGTTATTTGTGTAACACAATATCAATTCTACACAATACCAGAGGCAACTTGACATAGCTATTGTTAGTTTAGGCTCTGTGCAAATGCGAATTCATAATTCATGCGTATTTACATTTCATTGATTCTAATTGTTGTAGATTAGCTCGTGTTCCATTTTCATCCATCTGCGCTAAAACAATTTAAGGTTATTAGTTACATATCTGCAAAGTGGCGTAACAATATTTAAGGCATAAAGTGTGCTATAATGTATTGTGCTAATACGAATGTTCAGAATTGTAAGTAGTATCTTTGATTGTATTTCTTACAGCGCTGGAGTGGGTCGTACTGGAACTTTTATTGCATTACGTAACGTGATGAGGGAAGCTGAAGACACGGGTGTGGTCAACTTCTTCCGTACTGTGTCCAAGTTACGGCAGGATAGGATGATGATGATACAGACTGCTGTAAGACTTGTGTAAATATACGCTTACACACATACACACACACACACACACACACATATATATATATATATATATATATATATATATATATATATATATATATATATATATATATATATATATATGTAGGCCTATATATATATATGTATGTGTGTGTCTATGTGTATTTGTGTGTTTGTGTAGGTTTGTTATATCATTAATAGAAGTTTCTATTTCACGTTAGTTTATTCCTAAGTGTATTCAAATGGACTGTGGATTGTCTTGTATAAGCTGCCTTTTTCAACGTCTAGGAACAGTACGAGTTTTTGCACAAGGCCGCCCAGGTCGCTATAGTCTGTATGGGAACCACAGTCACATCACGTGACATAGAGTCTAGAATCAGCTTTCTTCAAGAGGGTCAAAAGTCAGGAAAAAGTCAAATGGAGGCTGAGTTCAAGGTAGACATTATTAAATACAAATATTTTCGATACTCTCTAATAAATAATTACTTATTAATTTTCTGTCAGTTATTCCATGTATTATTTTTTAAATTAAAGCAATACTTTACCAAAGATAATTGTATCTGACAGGCTGTATCTGCTCTCTGTGACTACCTGTGCACTGCTAAAAAGAGGGAAACAATGGGTGAGAGAGATGGAAATATTTACCTGAACGGTGATACCTTGGCTGATACAGAGTTGAATAGGGACCTCGACAGTGTGCCTGGTAAACATTGACAAAACATACAATTTAACGCAAAATAACTTCTACAGACCACATATGTGTACATTAAAACATATGTAAATTACAATATAATATGTAATTAATATAACCGTTTTGCAGATATAAACTTCAGAACAAAGCTAGAACGTGAATCAGTATCTTTGCGGGATTACATCAATGCAGTAATTGTTCCTGTGAGAAAAATGTTTTTTTTTTGCTAGTTAATAATCAAATCAAAGTAATTTATACGTGATTCAGTCAATAGTATTTTCTGGACAGTTAGAAAAAAATAACAGTGATAGTATTCTTTAAACGATTTTTTATTTCTGCAAACCTTTGTTTTCAGAGTTTTACTAAAACTGATGGTCAGATTTTAACACAACTGCCAACAGCAACGACTGTCGTTGATTTCTGGAGACTGGTCATGCAATACAATGTCGCTCTAGTGCTAGCCTTTGAAACCAATAGCAACTCTAAGGACTCGGTAATTTGTTTTAATATTGGCATTTTACAAATAAATAAATAGTTATCTAAACATTTTACTAAAACATAAATTATTATCTATGAATTTCATAAATAAATACACTCTTAAAATCTGGTGATAAAAAAATAAACCCGTATACATCTATACATTTACTAAATAATGGTATCCAGAAAACCGGGCAGTACTTAGCAGAAAGCATTACAGAGCCCTTAGCTTGTGGATTATATGAGGTGTCCACAGGTCCTATAAAGAATGAAGACCAATGTGAAATACAAAATATCACCGTTAAATCCAAGAAGAAAAAGAACATCTTATCCCAAGTGAGTAATTTAGTTTTAATTATGTAGTTTATAAAGCATAACGATTGTTAAAACTTTAAAAAGTTCATAATATAAAACTCTCTCTCTCTCTCTCTCTCTCAGTATATATATATATATATATATATATATATATATATATATATATATATATATATATATATATATATATATATATATATATATTATATACACATATAAATGGTTTTTGATAATTTATCAAAATGAATGGTGTATGATTTCAAAGAGAAGCATAGCCTCGAGGTAAACAAATGCTTACTTTTAATTTTAATCAACACAATGTAGAATACACTGTCAATTCACATTTCATTTTCAACTGAAATTAAATCTAGAGTTTCGACAATTATGCTAACTATTGTTTTGTTCAATTGTTATTTTGTAGGTGTCAAATAGTCGTTCTCTGACGCATATTACCGTAAATGATTTAACTCTGGATCCTAAACTTTGGTTAAACTTAATAAAGAAGGCCAGAGCAAATAATACTCACGGGCGTATCCTTTATATGTGCAGGTATGTAAACTTTACAGGTTACTATTTTGTCAAATCAGTGGCGTAGCGAGGTCGGGTGTCACCCGGAGCGTCACTTAATGGTGTCACCCCCCCCCCCAGAGGCGTAGCGACCCTTCCCGGCTAAACTTTCAAATTTTCGATTTGCAACCCCCTCCTCAAGTTTTCGATTTGCACCCCCCCTCATGTTTTTCTCTATATATTTTGCTATTTTATACCTTGGTGTCACCCCCCTAAATGGTGTCACCCGGTGCGGTCCGCACGTCTGCCCCCCCCTCTGTTTCAAATTATAGTAAAATTATAGTATGCTGTTATGCTTATATTAATGAATCGATTGTATTATTGTTCTTCTTCTTTGTTTTTAATTATAATCTTGAAAGTGATTCCCGCCAACACAATTAGTACGTGTTACATTACTAAAACAGAAACATCTGAGTTACCCTTGGTACTTTATTAATATAGACAGCATAGGCTGTCTTGGTTAGTGTGTCTTATAATTTATCCGTGGGCTGACTGATATGATCTCTGAAATAGTGTTTTGATTTGTCTCAACTTCTTGCTCACGTCCCTTTGTTACTGTTGGCTGTACGGTTTCCAGCATGATGTTGAGTATAACGGCGGTAGTTGACAAATTCACCAAGACTGCCAGTGCGAACGTGATGTGGACGGGAAGTGAAGGTTCCCCAAATGATGGACTAAAGTTATTCCAAACGAATTATGTTTTTTTATTTAATTTTTATGTTTAAACTAGTACTAGTTTTAAAAAGAAACAAGGAATGTGTTACTTTATTTATTGTTAACGATTTATTACGTCCATTGTATTGTGTATATTATGGTTACGTCCCTTGCATGTTTACCGTGTAGAATAAAGTAGGCCTACTTAATTTAACCCAGAGAACTGTGTCTGTTTAAGTAATGAAACAGTACGTATCCAGTTATCATCAGAGTTTCTTCCAGGTATCTGTTCGGGCGGGGGGGGGGGGGGGCATGGAATTTATATAGAAAATATATACTTTTAACAGTGTCCGCCCCCCCCCCCTCGGAAATTTGAGTCCGCCCCCCCCCCCCCCCCCCATCGAAAATTTCAAGTTCACCCCCGGAGAAAAAAGTCTGGAAGAAACACTGGTTATTATGCGCCACATTGGCTAACGACTCGGATTATAGCCTGCTTTTCTTCTTGGTTTTGCTTCAATCTCCTTTTTCCAACCAAGAATAAAAACAACTGTTTGATTTGTGAGTTATCTCTCCTAGATGAGTTGTTGTCCCCAGCTATCGAGCTTTATCTGCCCGGGGGTTCGAACTCGGGACTATTTGATTCAGCAACCATGACCCGACCCGACTACGCCGTCTTCATTTTACTATGTATTATGCTAGTATTACTTGATAAGTACGTATGACATAATGTCCAAGTTTGCTTGTGTTCAGAGACGGGGTGAGCTACAGCGGTCTGGCTTGTGTGTTGAACCTGTTGCTGGACAGGCTGGACCACGACCAGAGCCTGACAGTTCCACTGGTGGTTGGTGCCGTCAAGTGTATCAGACCTCAGGTCATCTCCACACTGGTCAGTTGCTTATCACTTGTTTGATTCTCTAAAGTTTGATTACATAGCATAGACTTAGCTAAGTTTGATTACATAGCACCGACTTAGCTAAGTTTGATTACATAATACAGACTCAATTAAAATATCGTGTGTATCCTAGGACCAGTATAACTGTTTATACCAAGTGCTTCACCGGTACAACGAAACCTCTTCATCATACAACAACTACGACTACCCAATGGTCGAGAAAAAGTTCAAACCTCCTAATCATATTCCTCCGCCAATTTTTTATGAAGTCGAATATTCCAACACTTCTTAAGGCACTAGATGTGTTGTTTAATACAGAGTTTATGTAGACTTTACAATACTTTATATCTGATCATGGTATAATGTAGTTGAAATGTTATTTAATAAAACCCCTAATTTGTTCACAAATAATTGAAAAACTAAAAGCACAAATCTTTTAATTACAAACTTTACCTCTGTTTTTACGTTGTGTTAGTTTATGGGAATTTTACTAATTTTATTTTTGTAGTCAATATTTACATTTCAAACATTGAACTATATTTTTACTATATGTTAAGTCATATACGCGTTAAATAGAGTATACTATAAAACACACGGTTTAAGTTTTAATATTGATCATGGATGAACAGCAGCTTCGTAAAATAAAACCATCAGCTATTTAAATTCAAGTATTTTATTTCTAATCTTCTAATGTTATTTAGTTTTACAACGTTAACTTTAGTAATAACTGTTTATTATATGTGTAAATAGATACATGGTTTAAAATTTGAAATATTGTATAGTTGTGTGATAAATAAATAACACTTCGTTGTAGAAATAGTAGAACAATGAATTGAGATGATTGTGTCTGTTAGAAAAACTAATTTATTTTATCTAAAATGTGATCATTCAACTTTATATTTACATTTATATATAAAAATAAAAGCACTTCTTTTTTTAAAGTTCATTCAGATGTGCACGTTTTGGTATATGGTTGAAAACAACTAAAGCTATATCGCCATCTACAATAACTTTACTAACGGTTTATTTCAAATGTAAGCCAATAAATTTTTTGCTAATTTACAACTTTATTTCTGAGTGAACAATTATTGAAATGCAGAATTTATCTATGACTGTTTAATATTAAGGCTCAAACGGTTTTTATTGTGATATAAAAATAAAGTATTCATGTTGCAAATACAGTTTTAGGAGTGGTCTAGCCAGCCAGCTATTGATTTTATTTGTTAATTGCGTGTTAAATTGTTAAATCCATTCTACCCATTGCTATTCATTAAACGTCAGTTGTTTTAAAGAAACAAAATAAAATATTTTATTACGTGGTTCTAGTGGCATACTAGAGTAGTGCTTGCTTCAGCTGAACAAGCGATGTGTATAAAGGGCAGTAAACTGTACTCATAGCCCCCCCCCCCCCCAAAAAAAAATATATATATATATATCTAACGTGGCAATTGAACATTCTAGATTAACACTTTTTTAAAAATGTGGTATCATGCAATCAGGCCGTTTGTTTATGATAAGATAACTTGTTTCTCAACTGTAACACTATTGTAAAATTTCTGAGTAGCTTCCCCTGAAATAAAAATAATCTAATGTAGTTGACTTGAGGTGTATGTTACCTTACTCTATCAACACCAAAAGTCTGGTCATAAACCGTGAAGGTTACCGCAGGTAAAGTTTATTCAACTTGAAGTTTATGACGGCTGACATAATGCTGCACCATTCCCACTGCTAACCTGGTCTGTCGAACCATTACCAGTGCTAACTTAGTGTGTCGAATCGTTCGAGGTGCTAACCTGATCGGACGAGCCATTCCCAGTGCTAACCTGGTCTGTCGAACCGTACGAGGTGCTAACAGGATCTGACGAACCATTACCAGTGCCAGCAGGTTCTGCCAGTGACTAGCAATGCTGCACTATTCCCGGTGCTAACTCTGGGACACTTCTTCTAAAATAGTGTGTTACAATAAAGGCCTGTCAAAAAATATTAGACAACGCGGAATTAAGTCTTAATTTAAATTTTTGAAAACATAAAGGTACAACTTCCTAATATTGATATTCAGTGACATTAACATCTTTCTATCGCTAGTTCCGATAAATTACATCACAAAAAAAAACAGTTGTAATCCTGTTGGAGAGACTAAATGCCTAGCAGGATTACATATATACATGTCACACACTCCTACAAAACCTGGCTGACACAATAGAACTGACACACATAACATACACACGAGGAAGGAGATCCACAAAGCGTGAGAAAGATAGGCACGATACGCATGAGATATACTCAGTGTGTGAGATACAATAAGCTTGATATAAACTTGGATATGGAACATTACCAGGAACATTAAGACACGATTAGAATCTGTAACCATTGAAAAATGTTACATAGCGTTGTGTGTCAGTGGGGTGAATAGCTGGTTTAAGATAGGTCATAAGAAGTAACTTTAGATTCTCACAATTGACCACAACCCCTTCTAAAGATAACATTACAATAATAATGTGTGTAGTAACATTATGTGTTCAGTAGAAAATACGTCATTATGGGAAATGTATGTTCATAAAGTTAAGAAAAAACCCTATGTTTGAATGTTAATTAATTAACATACATTTTAAGTATTCTTTAATTTGAATGTAAACCACATGTATACCATATTGTCAGTCTAGATCGTAAGACATATTTTAGTGATGTTTAAACTTAAAAGAGACGAAATGAAATAACTACTGGAATCCGATTGTCTATAGTTCAGTCACGGGTCAAAAACCCCGCTCCAGGCTTTATAGTATTCCTTGTGTCGACGGGACATCCGGTTTGTTCTGTAACGTCTAACATCATTTATAAAACATTTGTAAAGGCGGTTTTTCAACACACGTTTTGTTACTGCTAGATATTTACACATTGTTCAAAAGAAAATGTTAACTAGAAGCTCACGAGTATTTAGCATGTGTAGATATGTATTATAAACATACCTAAATTCAAGTAGATACATCTAATCTTTGTGTTTAAAAACCATGTAACGAAATTACCTATAATAATTACAATCAAATTTATTTTTCTTTTACTTAACCCTTTATCTACTGACGGTACTTATAAGTACCACTTTAATTAAGCGCCTGTATTATTTTTAATTTAAGACGAATTTTAAAAATTATTGTTGTAATTGATAGTATTATCTCCCTTGAGTCACAGGTAGGTGGAGGGAGCGATGTTTTTTGAAAATTTCTCGTGTGGCGCCATTTTCAGTCTCTACCTGTATCGGTAGTTCACAATTGTTCTGTGCATATCTCACATGTGTTCCTGATTTCCCTTTGTTTTACCTTATTCTTCACGTTTTCAACACCGAATATTTTTTATTGGCATCTTCAAAAGTCAGGCAAATGCATTTAACTTCTAGTTAAACAATTTTTATCAAATTGTCTTTGTAATAGATCGATGTTTACAAGTGGACTTATAATTGCTGATTTTCGATGTGGAGTGCCATAAATATTATTTTGATAATTAATTATCGAAATGTACTTAAAAATATATATTTATGCATTTATAAGAAGGTTAGCATAGGGTTTTCTTCAGAAATATTGTAATTAATTGCAGATTTCTAGTAGTAAAAGAATAACAAGAATAGAGGTGGCAGTTGCAGGCTCGTTTACTAGGTTTAGTATACGTTATTTGTATACCAAAGTCTAGTTCTAGAAGTAAGATTTGTAAGTGATATTTGTTGAAAAAAACTGTCTTGCATACAATAGCTGGCGTGTACGTAATGTATACCTGTAGACTAGTAATAGTCCATACATCTGCATGTAGTATAGATAGTTTTGTAATTTTGAATCAGTAAACACAAAACAGTAGGCCACTACGGCTATTCAAAACACATTGAGCTCACTTCTATTTATGAACTCTACACTGTAGTGTAGACTTGTCATAACATTCTAGTAGGCTACAATTATACTAGTATTACTAGTAGTAGTGTACTGAATGACTAGGATTTCGTTTTCAAAATATTTGTTTATGCGGCTCATTGTAATGTCTATTGGAAGCCTCAGGCAAAAGCAGGTTGAGTCCGGCAACAGTTGCCACACCAGAAAGACGACAGACAAGAATGTCTCAAGAATGAGGAATGAGGGAGCATGACATGTCGGCACCTTTTGCTGTGTTTGAGGTCTAAGATGTGTTCTGATAGAAAATCCAGTAAAAATCGTACTCAAAATATACTTTTGTGCTGTGTTTATGTGTGAAAATTACAAAAAATGATTGTTATAATGATTGCCATGTTATTATTTAATAAGTTGTATCGTTTTTTCTTGTTTTGTAAATTTTTTAATTTTTGGAAAAAATGTCCTACATTCCTGACGGTACTTATAAGTACCAATACATGTTTGGGCCCTTAAAAATTTATGAAACAAAATTTCCTTCGACGTATGCTTTATATGTGCCAAAAGCAATATGATAACACATTGTTTAAGAAAAAATTTCATTCAGAACCTTATTCCGTAAATAAAGGGTTAAAATATCCCGTTTAAATGTTAAAAATGCCAGCACAGTATTGAAAAAAATAATTAGCTTATCAATAATCAGCGCATTAATATTTGTTGTCTGTATAAACAAATAATTAGCTTATCAATAATCAGCGCATTAATATTTGTTGTCTGTATCACAGTGAACACAAGTGTTGAAAGATTTATTTTTAATATAATTTTAGTGCAGCTGGGTGATATGACAGAGTAATAAAATTTAGTATCTCATATACAACAATCACAATCTTCAATTAAGTTTAAATACATTTTAATTAGAATAAAAATATCCGTATTTTCCAAGAAACGGTGGTATGTACATGTGCATGTGTACACGGGGTAGGGGAGTGTACGGTAGCGTGTCGAGATATTGTCTAGCTCCACACGGAAACTTTGCTTGCCTGGACGTCAAGTCCTGGTAAAGACAGCCACTCTATTGTAGTATTCGCTGAATCAAGTCTCAGTGATCAGCTCTAGGAAGGTATTTGTAAACGATAGCTGCCAGATTAGGTAGGTTAAATCGTCTATTGTTAAATCATTTTTAAGTTATGTAGGAGACAATTGTGATTTAATGTAAAGTGTGATTAAAAGTGATATGTGTTTGTTTGTTTGTTGTTGTTTTTTGGTTTTTTTTATTATAGTCGAGCCAAAATTATCTGTGAGTTAAATTTAAAAAAAATTGTGGCTGTTAAATATTTATTTAAAGCTTAATCAGAACAATAGAATGCAATGTATTGTATTGTTTACAAACACTGGAATATTCCAATCAATTATCGCAGGTTACATGGTCAAATATATAGCTAAGCACGACTTGATAAGTAGACGACTTTGTTGGCTAGCTGATTGTGTAGTAGTCTTGTTATGAAATGTCAGGCTTATCATGATACATTGTGTTAATTTGTTACTTAGCTAGAAATACTGAAGTAATGTTTTTTTTTTCAGTGTGATGGTCTGGAGCTAAAATGTCCTTCGTCTTGCAACTGTGTTTATTGTTGGCGTCAGTCTACATGGTACATATGGCCACGCGTAAGTGTTTCTTTGTTCAGTCGCTTGCAAGTACAAAAATGGAAATGTATTTAAAATTAATAATATAAATATAATATAATATATATATATATATATATATATATATATATATATATATATATATATATATATATATATATATATATATATATATATATATATATATATATATATATATATATATATATATATATATATAAACATAACACTACAAACCATTACACATACAAAGCTTTCATGTTTAATATCCTTTTGACCGGCTTGATTATAGGCAGACATATATATATATATATATATATATATATATATATATATATATATATATATATATATATATATATATATATATATATATATATAAGGGGGGAGGGCAAAACATTTTGCCCTTTTTTTAAACTTTATTTATTATAGTAACACTAAACTCATCCCTTAACTAAACTCTCGAGCGTTACTAGCCCATTGGGGAATGCTTAGTAACACTTTTAGGAAGTTTTTAAAGTATATTGTAAATCTAAGTCAAATTATTCAATAGTTAGCATGCAACGTTATCAAAGGTGAGAAAATATTTTATCTTAAGCTCAACCGCTATATACACAAGTGGTATGTTTATTTTCATGATGCTACCTGTGACAACAGTTTGCTACGATAAACACTTACACTTACATACACACGACCATTATTTACAATCGGCGTATCAGGATATGGGATACCGATTGATGCTGCTAATTGACCAAAATCAAACACCACGACACGAAACACGCCTGTGAATATGGATTGTCAAGCTAGTAGTGACTAGGTCCTCCTTTTATAATACATGTATTCAACTCAAAGGTCAAACGCGTAAATATTCATTTTGAAAAGAAAAAGTAACCATATTACACTATTATCAAATAATGTTTAACACATGAATTTGACAAATTAGGTTGTATAGAATTGTATATGTTCTTACAAACGCAAGGTTTTTAATACGATGTGTAAGAGGAGACACGACTTGCTGTTCTTTGATCTAAAATAGCACGAGTTACCGCTCTTGTTGACCCAAATTACGTTGTGGTAATACCGACATTACCTGAGTTGGAAAAAAATGTTACGCTTCATTGAACATGCGTCACACTAACGGAAAATAAAGTACTGGATATTTTCCTTCCTGGTGCTATTTGAATACTGTCAAGTGCCACGCTAAATGAACAGTCACGGATTGTTAAGCGTGTGGTATTAAGCAGTTAGCTGTTTTTAGTTTTTGAATTACTATCGCGAAAACCTTTTTGGTAAACCACTTTGGTTGGACAAGCTACCTTACGCTAATGTTCTACATTCCCTCCACTAAAAGTGTATTTCAGATAGTCCTAACAAAGTGTTTACACTAGTTAGCTAGTGCACCGTGTATGTGTTACATGACGTTATATAACATGGTGTGCTAAAGACAAAACCGTTGTATATTCGTATTATATAATAAATCAACAAGATTTGTGAAAGTCTAAAATCACTTCAACTGGCAGTTCCAATGAAGCGTGAAACTGATAAGGGAGTTAACTAAAAATAAAAGACAATGTTAATTTTGTCAGAATGTCGTCCCTTGAACTAGGATCTAAGTAACCTATGCGATGATTATGACGTTATGATAACAAGCAATTTAAACACCGCACCATTTCAAAATATTTTAGCTAGATTGCTAATCAAACACAATGGAATAAGTATACAATCACGTGACGTCTTTTACACTTATAATCGTGATAAAACATAATATAATAAAGCGTATAAATAAGCTAACCTCATTATAAAGTGTTGCCCAGTTATAATAAGCTACTCTTTATTATTAGCCTATTGTTTATGTTTATTATAACTTGAATACCAGCAGCAAAAACATAAAAAGGTCTATCTCTTACAGTCCGATGATTATAGAAAGGCACATTCTAGACTATAATCTCTGGTCACCATAAAGTGACATGATGTGGCTTTATTCTTGTACTTGGTATCTTTATGATTTACACCTAGAAACATTTTATAGTGCCCTATTTGTCATATAACTGTAGAACATGTCCTAGTATAATTTAAAACGCTTTATACGGTTTTATTTGTCATACGGCTATACTTATTAATGGGATGCCGCGATCGAATGGTAGAGCATACGACTGATGTTCGAATACAAAGTCCCATGGTCAATCAAGCTCTGAGGGGTATACAACTCACGTTAGGGGAAATAAGGGCGGCTGGGAGTAGTGCGAACTACATTATCACAGAAATAGGTGAACTGTGCTACACTTGACCCATGAGACGTCAAGTTCAAACGAGTACTTAACTTGTAATGATCTACTCCCTAGCCTGTACCACTGGATGGTTCGGCCCTGATTGCCAGTACAGATGTCGCTGTACCAACAACAGCTGTGACGTCAACGGTTTCTGTGTCAACGGTTCCAAGTGTAACGTCAGCTGGTTTGGTCCAAAGTGTCAGTACCGTAAGTACTTACATGACAATCTTCTGTGTTGTTACATATGTTTAAATTAGAAAACTAACGTAACTTCATCTTAGTAGTTATAAAACAGACTGGAACTATCTATTATACCCATATATAAGTTATCATGCACAATGAAAGAATATAAATTGACAACCGACAACGTTCCAGAATATCTTAATTAATTAATTTAACCTAAAAATTCAAATATCAGTTACCTTGTCTTGTCACGTCCCTTATATTATGTATATCTCAGTGATGCCCCTTGAATATGTAGCTAGAGTGTAGTTCAGACGAAGACCGTGAATAAAACGTTGTGCTCAGAAGTGTGGCCTGGCACTGTTCTTTACAAAGTTAATTAAGAATTGCAGTACACTTCATGACGTCTACTGTTGTGTTCTGAGTTCTGCAAGTTGAGTAATGTAACTTTTAAAACCTCAATACTGGACAAATCAAATCTAAAACTTCATGAGCTTTTAATTTTCCCCGACTCTGCGACTTTTAAAAGAAGATAAAATTTAGTACGTTTTGAAGTGAACTGACACTAAGATACATTGCTTACGATTATCTTTTAGATTCTAAATAAAATATTTACAGCAATACATTGACCAACGTTATATGAATAATGTGGATTACAAACATATGGAAATGAAGCTGTAATACATTGGAGTTTACTTCCTATTAACTTTGTATTCATCTAGTAAGGTAAAAACATTATAAATTATCAATTGATGTTTTCCAGAGGACCTGATGTTTCTCAGGAGTTACATCACCCCTGAGAGTGTCCTCGTTGTTGACGGAGACGATACGACGTGCGTTTATCAAAACCGTTTCACCGTCACGTGGGCGACCTACTACGAGATCAACTGGATCCGACTGATTGTATCAGCTACAAGTATGGCCTCGTTTATTATGGAGAATTACATTGATCAAATGAACGCATTGGTTTTAATAAAACGCACAATTAGATAAAGAAATATTAATCACTTAATTGGTCATGAGAAAAATAATCGCTCTTCGTACTAACCTTTGTAGAGACACATCAATATAAATCTTTTGAGGTTTAATTAATTTGAATATGATCTGTTTATCTGTTCGTAGTAAAAACCAAGCAACCTCTCACTCCAAGCCCTGGCCTCCAACTGCATTGCTCATTCATCCCTACAAAGCTCTTTTCTCCCGCTCACAACAAACCCGCTGTCAATCGACCAGTCGCTTCCCTAGTTACTTTCGTTCACTCCGTACAACACACACATCACCACATCCTGCCTCGCGCTAAAATACTACTGTGTACACACTCACACGCAGTGATCAGTAACCAAATACACATCACCACAGCCATATTGTTTGAACCAATATCGAGAATACATACATACACACGCACGTACATTCGCACAACCACACACACATATACGCATATATATATATATATATATATATATATATATATATATATATATATATATATATATGTTACGGTCAAAGCCCGAAGTGCGGCCAAAGCGCGGATTGGCCGGCTCTCTTGGCCAAAGCCCGAAGAACTCAGCACTAAGATCGTATTTCGTACATTGGCCGGCCAATGCGCGCACTGGCCGGGACGTATTGGCCAAAGTCCGAAGCGCTTAAACTTGACAGCGTATTTTGTACATTGGCCGGCCAATGCGCACACTGGCCGGGATGTCCTGGCCAATGTTCTATCTAGACTAAGTTGTGATCGCATTTTCATTATTCTGGGTGCG